CAATCCCATTCTTCAAGGGGAGACAAATAATAGGAGTAAATTAAGGGAGATCAATCTCGTGATGAAAACGGATATAATTTTTTTTTATAAAACTACCTAATATCTAAATATGGAAGAGCAATTTAGAAGAGATTTTATAATTTTTTACTAAGTCTAACAAAATGAAAATATACCAAGGTAATAGACATCAATTAGTTGGAGACGTAAATATTTATATAGATAGTTACACAATTTATATACACTGTATATTTTTTAACATTCTGCTAGAACTGCCCTATGGCATATGCTTAGGTTATTATTTTAGTAAAAATAACGGGTGAAGTATCGTATTCAGAAATAAGAGTGAGCCAATCTACTAATCGGTAATAAGCTGTTTCAGATGTAGCATTAATTTGCCGTAATATTGTTGCTTGTCCTAGTGGTATAGAGCTAGGCCGCTAACCCGAAAGTCTCGAGTTCAAATCATCTGACAGTCTAATTTAAGAAGCAACCCACGCTTTACTTCTTAGTTATTCAAATTTAAATTTTTGTACATTTAAAAAAAATATTGTTGCTTTAATTTATCTATCGATGTTTTTTGTTTCCAGATCGAAGGCAAAATCCGAAAAGGCAAGGGCAAGCCAGGGGAGGCTATCGTGAAGGCCGCCAACGAAGAGGGCGCCACCATGATCGTGACGGGCACCCGCGGCCTGAGCAAGCTGAAGCGGGCCTTCCTGGGCAGCGTCAGTGATTATGTCGTGCACAATTCCCCCGTCCCGGTCATCACGTGCCGGAGACACTAACCCTGACCACGTGACCGAACCAATCTCTTCGCCCTCTGTTCTTTTACTCTCTGATTTATTTTTTTAAATTGACGCTAGGGGTCGTGTGTGCATTGAGCTCATGGGAGTTGAGAATGACCTTGACCTATTTTTTTAAAATGTGATCTATATTTAGCTGGTAGATATGTCCGAGTCAAAGCCAGTCGTCGTTGCCAGCCAAATCTTGGCTAAATGTCCCCTGTCAGCCATATCTTAGCTAAATGTCCCCTGTCAGCCATATCTTAGCTAAATGTCCTCTGTCAGCCATATCTTAGCTAAATGTCCCCTGTCAGCCATATCTTAGCTAAATGTCCTCTGTCAGCCATACCTTAGCTAAATGTCCCCTGTCAGCCATACAATTTGACTGAATATTTCTGTTCCATGTGTGTACGCTAGAACAGCGCGCTTATTGCTTCATTACGTCTTAAAGTTGTGTCAATGTACACAATTGTGTCAATGTACACAATTGTGTCAATGTACACAATTGTGTCAATGTACACAATTGTGTCTATGTACACTGTTGACGGCCTTGACCTCACGTTTGCTGTTGATGACATCACGACCCAACCCCCAACCTAAACTTCCGAGTGATTCTCAAACTCCCATCATCCGCAGACCCCATTTTCTGCTAGCCAACACGGCATAAATGATCCCCACAATAGCAATCAGCTTGTTCTACTTCACCTACGCCAAACCGTTCTAATAACAGCACCCATGACGGACCCATGACGGTTTCCGTCGTGACTTGAAGCCAGTGACTTTCCACCGATTATGGCCAGAGTTTCTTCCAGGCATCTCTTCGGGGGGGCTAAGCCCCCCCGAAAAATTTTTACCGCCCCCCCGAACGAAATGAAATTTATATAATTTATATAGAAAATATATACTTTTAACAGTGTCCGCCCCCCCGAAGAAAGTTTACCGCCCCCCCGAAGATTTCAAGTGCCCCCCCGGAGAAAAAAGTCTGGAAGAAACACTGATTATGGCCGTTATTTATTGTTTTTGTTCCAAGAATGAGGAAAAACAAACTGAAATGTTTTCAAGACAATACCTTTTTTTGCCCTTTTTTTTCTTCTCTTGCTATATAGTGTGTATATTTGTTACATGTATATTTATCGTACTTATATCAAATAATGACAGCTAAAGCAGCTTGACAGCCCAGTCACAAGACAGTGTCGGACAGCCTTTCACACCACATTAGACCTATGACATCAAATGTTGCAGTTATCCATCCTCTCCCCTCTCCCATCAAATGTTGCAATTATCCACCTTTCCCCCTCTCCCATTCACAAAACGCCGTTGTCCAATTTTTTTTCCCAAAAAAAAATCTCTTAAAATCTCATAAAATATATATATATTTTTTTAAATATCAGAAAAAAAAAATCTTAATATTTTTTTCCCAGAAGTCTCAAGGATTATTCCCCATTTGAGAGATTTCCTCTCCCCAGCGATCAGTGTTCGAATCCTGACAATGCCAGCATGTCTACAGCTCTATGACGTCACATACCTGTAGCTGCTTTCAATGACCCCCCCTCCCTCTTCCACCCTCTGTTTCACATTGTCATGTTTAAGTGTGTTGATGTTTTCCAATACGTCATTTGCTAAATCAGTGAAGATGGCGTTTTGTGGTCGGCTTTGTCGTTAAAGAAAATTCTATTGGACAATAAAGATTTTAACCTATTCAACTGATTGCCCCTTGTCTTAAGTGAGTGTGTTTGATTGTGTTGGTGTGTAGGTTTGCAGCAGTGTTTCTTCCAGACTTTTTTTCTCTGGGGGGGGGGGGGGGGGACGGGACACTGGTAAAAATATATTTTTTCTAGATGAATTACATTTCGTTCGGGGGGGGGGGGGGGGGGTTGAAGAAACTCTGGTTTGCAGCAATAATTTAGTTTATCAAAGTTCGGCGACATTAGATATTTTAATGGTCAAATTTTTGCGACATTAGATATTTTATATGGTCAAATGTTTGCGACATTAGATATTTTATATGGTCAAATGTTTGCGACATTAGCTAATGGGTAAAATCACGATATAGCGTCGGAAATTATTGGGTAATGGTCGTTGAGTTTCGGTAACATTCGTTACTGTAAACCATAGTTTATTTGACCGTTGAAAGAAAAATAAAGTCAAGTGCATTAAATTAATGTTTTCACTTAATTTAATGTTTAACTGACAAAAATTAGCAACAATTAGTACATCTAAATATTATTAATAAAGTCGAGTGTAGTAATTAATGTTTTTTTTTAAGAAACAGAAAAAACCTGCAGATTTCCGACAACCAGCTCTAGTTCTGTTAGTAAATAAGACGATTAGATTAACTAAAGTTAAAAGTAGTAAGAATAACTAGAATAATGTTTAGTAGCAACAATAATTAGCACATACACTTAAAATAATTAGAAATACAAAATAATTAGCAGAACAGTATTTAAAATGCAACTAAAATCAATCCTTGCAAACTTTTAAACATTGTGTGTTAAAAATAATATGGCGGCAAATAAATGATGGTTTACAGTATTTCCGGTGGTTTCCGGAACGGCTCGACAGACCACGCCATGGTTTTACTGTTTTTTACTGCTGTACAGTTCCGGAATAATAACCGACGCTATATCGTGATTGTACCAGCTAATGTACATGGTCACATATTTGCAACATGACATAATTTATTTGCTCAAAGTTTTGCGCCACCAGATGCTCAGCGTCAGTACCCCTGTTTGAGTTGGTCTTTCGTGCAGGGAGGGTAAGTTATGTAAATAGAAAACACAACCAAAATGGCTGCTGGAACGGAAGTGTGCGCGCGCATCAGGTAGTGGTTTCCACGAGATAAGGTCTCTGAGCTAAGCTGTGGTGAGCTGAGATGACAGGCTCCACGTAACTGCCGTATCAGTGGTCATTTCATGGGACATTGAACCCATCTGCAAGGCTAATTCGTGTCTTCGCGGGCATTGTAATGTGCTAATTTGGGGGTGGGGTAGGGTGGGGGGGGGGGGGGGGGGGGAAACGTTTCGACCATCCCCTAGGTCATTAGGGCTTGTCTAGGGAGTCACTAATCACCCCCCCCCCTGACACCCCACCTCTAGCTCAAAAGGGTGGGTGGGGGGGGAGTTTAAATTAGGGTAGAGCCTACAGCTACAGTGGTAAAAACGTTTAAATAATTATTTGGGATTGAGGAGAAGGGAAAAGTTTACTTAGTCCAATTAAGTGGACTGACGTGGTTGAACAAGGATTCTGTGCTCGAGCCAGTAGGAAGAGCCCCCCCCCCCCCCCCCCCACACACACACACACCTCACTCCCGGCCTGAACAAGTCTGATGTACATCACAGAAATCAAGAAAAGTAAAGGCAGCTGGATGAAATCAGGAAAAGTAAAAGCAGCTGGGCATAAAGCTGATCCTGTTCAAGATCTGCTCGCTTTGATGTTTGAAATCTTCAACAAGTTGTACTACAGGATTTTATTTCTATCAGCCCCTACCTTCCCATAACCCATCTCCCTACCCCTGAATCTACTCGCATAGAAGCAACATATCTTGCCAAGATGCGCATATTTAATGTACGATAAAAATGTCGGCACTTGAAATTTCAGACAGGAATAGAACCTAACATTTCAGATTAGGAACATTTTAAAATGAACAAAACCTAACACTGCACAGATCAGCCGTGGAAACTCTAGAACTCGCCATACACAATACACAATCGTATGAAACAACGGTAACAATAAACAAACTGTCACGTTAAACTCAACTGTCACGTTAAACACAACTGTCACATTAAATACAACTGTCACATTAAACACAACTGTCACATTAAACACAACTGTCACGTTAAACACAACTGTCACTGTAAATACAACTGTCACAGTAAATACAACTTTCACGTTAAACACAACTTTCACGTTAAAACACAATGTCACATTAAGACCTTTGGCTAAGAATGTCTTAGCCTTACCACAAAGAATTTTTTTCTGGTTGGTTTTGACTCGTATTATTAAAGGGAACAAACCTTAAAAGAAACAGGTAAAACCTGGATAGCCTCCCTTCCACCAGCTGCCACTAAAAAGCAGTACATATGCAAGTCAGCAAGAATGGTTCGATGCTTCCAGTGTTATTGGATTTGATTTAGCACATCAAGTATAATTATATCCTGGTACTTAAAGTACTGACAACAGATAAAGGGAAGCCAATATAGAAATCACATGACAAAACATTTCTATTTGATGCTTTATTTGATTAAATCTCAATCAATAACAATTATTTGATTAATGGAATTAAGTAGATAGGAAATTAAATGTAAAAAAAAAAACATACATTAATCTTCCTGACATTTATAAACATTGTAATATAACACATGATAGCACTAGCTGCAGTCCACACATATAAAAGATTGGTCTTTTAAAGACATCTCAATAAAATGTTTAAAAACTTAACAAATATTTTACACATAAACAGCACACATAAAACACGTCACACAAGACAAAAAACTTGTTAAAACAACCTGAGTTATGAGAAAAACATTCCCGTGATAACATTCTTATACAATTACTATAGTCATGAACACAAATGACATCACTCTTTAAAATTATAAAAATGTATAAAACGTAAACAGTTTCATACCACTTAGGATTCCATTACAATTTTTGTTTAGAAAAAACTGCTTTCCAATTCTAATATAGTCATTTAGAAAAACAACTTTACCAACAGATGGGACATACATGACAAAAGCCTGGATACACAGACATATGGATGATTTCTGACATGGGTGATTACACTGTAATTAGTGTGGATGGTGAACCCCTCATTGGTATGGATGATGGAGAGTTGAGCGGATGATACCCCATCAGTGATGCGGATGATACCCCCTCAGTGATGCGGATGATACCCCCTCAGTGATGCGGATGCTTACAGACGAGGACTGGGATGTCGGAGTGATGGACAACACTTTCACTGACGCTGCCCAGGATGGTGCGGCGGATCTTGCCGAGGCCGCGGGAGCCCATGACGATCATGTTGGCGCTGACAGACTTGCTGTACTCCAGGATCTTGTGCCACGCCTCTTTGGCATGCAGACGCACAAAGCTGCCATCAATCTGCGCACAAGAGAAACAACTGGTCAGCTGATATAGCTTTATTATAAAGTTAATTATTAGTTAAATTAACAGCTTTTTCTCCAGCCAGAATGTCTGCCTGTCTGTCTAGTTGTCTGAAATGAATGTGTTCTGTAAATTGACATAAACTAGGCTAATCTAAGAGGAAGAAATGTCTTTTGTTAGTAAAATTAGCTGTGGTGCCAGCTCTAGAAACTAATTTATTTGTTACTGTAGCCTACAGTGTTTTATCACTAGAGAATTGAGGGGACAGCATGGGTGCATTACCTCGGCTACAGGACATTACCCCCCCTCCGACATTCCCCCCCCCCCCATATTTACCCCCCCCCCCGGAGCAATTACCCCCCTGTCAATTACCCCCCCCCCCCTCAAGTTAGAATCCTAACTCTAACTAGAATTCTATACCTATATACCACTTTAACCCAAACATTAAGAAAAAGACCAAAACCTAAGCATCCACCTTAGCCTAAAACTTCACAAAAAACCAAAACCAACGCTAGACACAACCCTAACTCTAACCCTAACCTTAACCCTAACTCTAACCCTGTCCGGGGGGGGGGTTATGTCCTACTGGGGGGAAGGTAATTGACAGGGGGGTAATTACTCCGGGGGGGGGGGGGGGGTAATGTCGGGGGGATGTCCAGGGGTAATTGACAGGGGGGAAATGCCCTGTTCCCCATTACCTCAGGTGTTTTATAACTAGAGAATTGAGGGGACACCATGGGTACAGCTGATTAACAAGTGTACCTGACCTAGATTTTTTATCTTTTTATCAAGAGAGGACTGTCATCTTCAAAGGATAATTGTTTCAAAAGTTACCAAAAAATTAGTACAAAGAGGTTCTGTGTTATTTTTTACAGACTTTTCCTCCATACATTGTATTTTTTTTTATTTAATTTCGTTCTTTCTGTATTTATTACTGATTTTTTTAAATGTATATGTACATGTCAGAAGATTTTTCAAAAGCACTCTACATTTTATTTTTGGTCTCCCCTGGATAGTTTATATCAACATGACAACTGTGATGTATCAATGTGACATGACAACTGTGATGTATCAATGTGACATGACTACAACTTGCAATGAACAAAACAATCCTAATGTTGTTCTGTATGGAAATCTGGTAATATACTGTGTGTCGCTAGGCTACCAGTGTCCTAATATGTTGGTGCCAGGCTACCTTGTGTCCATGTGTGTGGTTTAGGCTACCCTATGTCCCCACTACTTCAACATGAAACCTACTTTGTTGGCACTAAAAATCTCTGTGACTTCAGCCTCTATAGCAGCAGCCTTCTCTTTGTCTTTCTCCTCCAGCTCATGGATCCTGCCTGGGCTTGGCCCTGTCAGATACACATTGCATTACACATTACCATGTCATACACATTGCATTACACATTACCATGTCATACACGTTTCATTACACATTACCATGTCATACACATTTCATTACACATTACCATGTCATACACATTTCATTACACATTACCATGTCATACACATTTCATTACACATTACCATGTCATACACATTTCATTACACATTACCATGTCATACACATTTCATTACACATTACAAAGTCACAATGTCCAATCCTATTACACATTACACAATGTCCAGTTCTACATCAGACTCCACTTAATGTCCACCCCCCCCCCCCAATTGTTACCTTCCATGATGCCAACATCACCAAAGTAATCCGCCACATAACAGGTGTAGACCTTGTTGCCATCCTTGTGCAGGTGCTTGATGTAGACTGGAATACATGTAAAACAAGCATGGTACAAGCAGGGTATAAACATGGTACACATACAGTATGTAGAATGGAATTCAACAATCACACATGGTACAAATATGGTACAAGCATGGTACAAGCATTGTATAAACATCGTACAAATAAAGGATGCCATGACAGGCTCAATATTGACAATATTGTGTGTAATGTGTGTGGTGTGTAATGTGTGTGGTGTAATGTGTGTGGTGTAATGTGTGTGGTGTAATGTGTGTGGTGTAATGTGTGTGGTGTGTGTGGTGTATAATGATCAATGTGTAGATAGTAGATTAAAACAAATCAATCGCTGAATGACACCTGTATATGATTTTCATTTTTCTCGCTAGTACCGGAGGTCAATAATGCATAAGGAAGTTAATCACAACTAATCCCCTCCCTTACATACACATAATGATCCATGAGATACACATTAGTCAACGTTGAAACGTCTGACATCAAAGGTGCTGGGAGTAATTAAATCAAAGCTATATTGTGTCCTAGTGATTGCCCTCGATGAATTGTTTAAATAACAGCCACCACCTCACCACCCCCACCATCTTCATCTGTCAATGTCAAGTAGAAAGTTGTGTAAACGTGTCCAACTGTTAGACTGGACGTGACTGGTCACGTCAAGGTCACGTCATACTCTGATAGTGAACGTGACACTAACAGGTCACGCTTGACCCAGGAAGTGACGGTCTAACGGATCAGCTGGACCGTGACCGATTCACTCGGACGTAAATAGCAGGTGGAGTGACTCGTTACCTACATAAGGGGGGGGGGCGTGTGACAGCTTAATTAGTCTGTTGTGTGCCTGCTTAATTAGTCTGTTGTGTGCCTGCTTAATTAGTCTGTTGTGTGCCTGCCTTATTAGTCTCTAGTGACTCTACATAAACAGACAAACTGTTGAGAATAACCCATGACTCTCCCACTCCCCACACGAACAACTCAGGATTTATTTTTTTACTATAAGGAAATATTTCAATTTATGGCCCTTAGTGACTTAATTTTATGGCAGGTTTTAATGACTTTTAAATGACTTGACTTTATGACTACTGAAAGTGACCTATAGGGAATGAACGTAATGGCTCTAAGTCTAAGTGAGAATCAGCAGAAGAAACGTGAGTATGTTGCAGATGGCGCCACCTACAATTCAACTAGTGTAAGTCATCTCTCCAACAGTTTTATCATGGAGGGCAAAGTTTAGCCGAGAAAATAGCGGGACAGAAAAGTAAACAAAAAGAAATGTCTGACTGCTGAGACTACCACACAATAAATATCTTCTCGGACACGTGACAAGACACGATGACGTCATTCTTCCTTCAGGTGAAACCCTATTTTTCCAATACCCCCCCCCCCCCCGCCTTCCACCCCTCGACCAGATCTAGACAGGGGCGATAAGCCAAGCGCAGCAAAAGGTTAGCAGATAATGGGTCGCGTCCTATAAGAGAACCACTCCAGCAACAGACTAGCAGGTCTGTGTATAACAAAACAAACTCTAGCTAGGCCGGTGACGTAATGGTTGTACTGAGGGTCTAAGACAATTACCGCTGGGTCCTGGGTCTATCATCCAACACAGAGACCTTTTGTGTCAGACACAAACAGGGCTTTTGATATATATGTGTATGTGTGTACGTGCCTGTCTGCCTGCGTGTGTGTATATAACCTATTTGCATTAGTGCACATAGACTTAGACATATTGAGAACAGTTCTAAATAAACTGGTATACAAATGGCAGGTCAGAAAAATAATATTCAGCAACTACGTCTGACCGATTTTTTTTCTTAGGCCTCTAAATTGTCTGACCATAAATTATTCCCCCCCCCCCCCAACCCGAGTGTACCTGTCTGTGTTCTACTTTGATATTAGTTTTCTAATCTCACAATAAGTGGTTTTGTGGTGCTAGGCTGTGTAGTGTTAGGCTTAAATAATGGTCCTAAGTTTTGTGGTGCTGGCATTATTATGGTCCAAAGTTTTGTGGTGCTAGCTTTATTATGGTCCAAAGTTTTGTGGTGCTAGCTTTATTATAGTCCTAAGTTTTGTGGTGCTAGTTTTATTATGGTCCAAAGTTTTGTGGTGCTAGCATTATTATGGTCCAAAGTTTTGTGGTGCTAGCTTTATTATGGTCCAAAGTTTTGTGGTGCTAGTTTTATTATGGTCCTAAGTTGTGTGGTGCTAGCTTTATTATGGTCCAAAGTTTTGTGGTGCTAGTTTTATTATGGTCCAAAGTTTTGTGGTGCTAGTTTTATTATGGTCCTAAGTTTTGTGGTGCTAGCTTTATTATGGTCCAAAGTTTTGTGGTGCTAGCTTGATTATGGTCATAAGTTTTGATGTAGCCATACTTGGCTTAATTGTGGTGCTATGCCCAGTGGTACGAGACCTTGTCAGAGGTAAAAAACCGTAACAGCCGGCAAGTCAACGGCCCGCGAGCCGACAGTTTGAGCACCGCTGACATATGGGGAACCACGTGACGAGCCGTTTCAAGGTAGTATTTACATACAATTACAACGGAGTAGGCGTGAGTATAAAAATAGCCTGAGGTTTTCAACACGAACAACAACAAAACAATCAGTTGGCCATCTTGCTGTCAGCATGATATATATAAGCCCAAAGGTCAACGACCTTGACATACAGTAAACAGGTCTGAAAATGTGTTTCACACGTTGTTTTACGCGCAGATCTCGTGAGAGCGTGTTGACGTGCGGGCACGTGGGTTGTTTCGCTCAACACGTTTTTCTCATGTCCTGCAGGACGCAGGTCTCGGGGACTAGATTCATTTGTCCTATAGGAAACGTGGTTTGTAGGACCAGTATCTAATGTCCTACAGGACACAGGTCCCAGGGAACAGATTCAAAGACCCGGGGGGGGGGGCACATGGCCTCTACAGCGTCCTAATGATCCTACAGGTCAATGACCCATACTTTTTAACAGTTTCCTATTTTCTCAGGTATTCACCAGCCCAGCGAAGTTTCTAAAAATAACGTATATGCTTTCACACTCCAGTACAAAGCCATTAGCGCGCCCATTATTTCCCAATATGATCCAAGCAACTCTTGCTTCATTTTCAATTTTTTAGCGAAACAAAAATATAAAAGAGGAGACCTGTCGTTAGAGATATGTTTAAAAGATATGGTTAGATTACCGTCGTACGTTAAAGTACTTTCCTTTGGCCTAACCGTGTTGATTGTAAAATTATCTCCCCTACATTCCATAATCTTGTCAACAGAATACTAGAGATGATTTGGTAGGCAATAAACAACTCATTACGGTGGTAAGGTATTAAAATATAACGTCGTTTGGCGTGGTGTTAAAATATAACCCAGTTAGGTGAGGTGTTAAAATATAACGTCGTTTGGTGTGGTGTTAAAATATAACCCAGTTAGGTGAGGTGTTAAAATATAACGCCGTTGGTGGGGATGTTAAAATATAACGCCGTTGGTGGGGATGTTAAAATATAACGCCGTTGGTGGGGATGTTAAAATATAACGCCGTTTGGTGGGGATGTTAAAATATAACGCCGTTGGTGGGGTGTTAAAATATAACCACGTTAGGTGAGGTGTTAATGGGGTGTTAGTGGTGTTAAAATATAACCCAGTTAAAGCATTCTTCGAGTTTGTGCAAGCCAGGATGTAGGTCGTCTGGTTTAGGGGGCTGATCAATATATACGTGGCATTAGGGATGGGGGAGGGTCAAGGTCACTGTCAACTTGATTAAAATTTAATGCAAGACAGGCGGAAGGTGCTAGGGATCCAACAAGCCACGTGACATGAGCGAATTGCCCAGAAATCGATTTCTTAAGAACAGCTCAGACTTGATCAGATGAGATCGAATTCTCAATGTGAGGTATCGATACCAAAATTAGCAGAAGTGCTGGAAACGATACCTCAATATGTTGGAAATTGTTTGGCAAAATATTTATAGAAATTTTCCTTTATAACGTCAAGTTAGAATATGCTTGACATATCACATCGTCCCTACTGGTGAAGAAATTTTGAGGGTAAGTTTGTGCCTTGGGCAAGTGACACGCCAATCCACAAGTTTGTGACACGCCTATCCACACGTTTGTGACACGCCTATCCACACGTTTGTGACACGCCAATCCACAATCTGACACGCCAATCCACACGTTTGTGACACGCCAATCCACAATCTGACACGCCAATCTACAAGTTTGTGACACGCCAATCCACAATCTGACACGCCAATCCACAAGTTTGTGACACGCCAATCCACAAGTTTGTGACACGACAATCCACAAGTTTGTGACACGCCAATCCACAAGTTTGTGACACGCCAATCCACAAGTTTGTGACACGACAATCCACAAGTTTGTGACACGCCAATCCACAAGTTTGTGACACGCCAATCCACACGTTTGTGACACGCCAATCCACACGTTTGTGACACGCCAATGCACAAGTTTGTGACACGCCAATCCACAAGTTTGTGACACGCCAATCCACAAGTTTGTGACACGCCAATCCACAAGTTTGTGACACGCCAATCCACAATCTGACACGCTAATCCACACGTTTGTGACACGCCAATCCACAAGTTTGTGACACGCCAATCCACAAGTTTGTGACACGCCAATCCACAATCTGACACGCTAATCCACACGTTTGTGACACGCCAATCCACAAGTTTGTGACACGCCAATCCACAAGTTTGTGACACGCCAATCCACAATCTGACACGCTAATCCACAAGTTTGTGACACGCCAATCCACAAGTTTGTGACACGCCAATCCACAATCTGACACGCTAATCCACACGTTTGTGACACGCCAATCCACAAGTTTGTGACACGCCAATCCACAAGTTTGTGACACGCCAATCCACAATCTGACACGCTAATCCACACGTTTGTGACACGCCAATCCACAAGTTTGTGACACGCCAATCCACAAGTTTGTGACACGCCAATCCACAATCTGACACGCTAATCCACAAGTTTGTGACACGCCAATCCACAAGTTTGTGACACGCCAATCCACAATCTGACACGCTAATCCACACGTTTGTGACACGCCAATCCACAAGTTTGTGACAGGCCAATCCATAAGTTTGACCTCATTTCGGACGCCTTTTTCTTGGGTGATACTAAACACAGGTAAAATCTGAGTGTCTCTTTACGTGACCACAGCAACAAAAGTTTAGAAAGTCTAACAATTGTGTAGGTCAGCTTGACCTACGAGCAACACGTGCTGAGAGGAAGAGAGTGGATAAGGTCAGGATCAGGGTGTATCATTATTTAGTGTCAGGAAGAGAGTGCTTAGGGTCAGGATTAGGGTGTGTCATTAGCTCGTGTCATGAGAATCAACAGCAAGTCAGGATCAGGATTGTGTCATTAGCATGTGTCAGTGTACCGAGTGTTGTCAATGAACCGAAAGTACTGAGTGGCCACAGAGCGTGACGGCCCAGACTGTATAAACCGGGCTCTCCACATTGGTACACGCCCCAACAAGGTGTACACCGGGCTCTCCACAGTTGGTACACACCCCAGCAAGGTGTAACCTGGCTCTCTACAGTTGGTACACACCCCAGCAAGGTGTAACCTGGCTCTCCACAGTTGGTACACACCCCAGCAAGGTGTACACCGGGCTCTCCACAGTTGGTACACGCCCCAACAAGGTGTACACCGGGCTCTCCACAGTTGGTACACACCCCAACAAGGTGTACACCGGGCTCTCCACAGTTGGTACACACCCCAGCAAGGTGTGTACACCGGGCTCTCCACAGTTGGTACACGCCCCAGTAACGTGTGTTGGCCTCTCACGTCACCCACCCACCAACAAATAAAAACAAACCAAGAAAGACCGAGGGAAAATGTTTTTTTGTTTTTTTTTAACAATACAGGTTAAATGAGGCTGAACTTTGTGCTTGTGTGCTTGCTAGATGTTTGGTCTTTGTCAGCTCTAAATTATCTCTACCAGCCCAACATCTCTCCAAGAAATGTTTTTATTCAAATTGCGTTTGATAGAATCTAGATCGATCTAAAAATCTAGATAGAATCTAAGAATTTTACGTAGATCTAACTGTAAAAACCAGATTAAACAAATGATGGGTAGGTCATTTTGAACACGTCAAGTCTCTAAAATGTGTAGATGCTGCTGTATGCTACATGCTAATGACTCTAAGCCTGCTAAGCTAGGTTAAAGTTCAAGTCAACCGATTTCAACTAAGCCTAGCGTTAATTAGGCTAGTACAAGAAGTTAAACTGATGTTTCAGGGTTTCCGCTCCAGTAGGCCTACATACTAAAATGATACCATGCTGGCTATGGTCGCATAGGGTAGTTGTCAAAAACCAGAGGCGTAGCGACCCTTCAATGCGCCCGGGGACATACTTTCAATTTGGCGCCCCCTTGGGAGCAAATTTTCGATTTTGCACCCCCCCCTTCGAACTTTTTATTTGCACCCCCCTCAAACTTTCGATTTGCACCCCCACTCCTCGAACTTTTCATTTGCACCCCCCCCCCCTCAAACTTTCGATTTGCACCCCCCCCCCCCTCGAACTTTTCATTTGCACCCCCCCCTCAAACTTTCAATTTGGCGCCCCCCCTAACGTCGGCGCCCGGGGACATATGTCCCCCCCCGCCCCCCCCCTCGCTACGCTACTGTCAAAAACCTAAAGCTCTTAGATCTAGATAGATCTAGATCTATATCTAGATCTAGATGTGAGTGAATCGGATACAAATATTTTAAAAGTGATGTGTTTTTTTTTTAATTATTTCGCATTTACATTAGGCCTAGGCCTAAAATGTTTTTATTAAATTAAACAATTTTTTAATATATTATTATAAATTCCTAATAGCCTACTAATAGATCTAGAATAATCTAGATCTTCTAGTAGTTAGTAACAGCATAGTAAAGTATAGATCTAGTTTATATTTTATATTTATTAGATATTAATATTATAAATTTTCATGGGCAACAAATTAATCTGTGGAAAGTGGTATGCTAAAAAGTAAAAAATAAAAATCTAGATCTCTAGATTTCTAGATCTAGATTGTAAGTAGCTAATCATTCAATATTTATGAGCTAATAATAAAAGAAGTCGTGAAACACTAAAAACAAATATTAAATATGTAGTCTACTTACAATCAAGACAGTATTCGCTGTGTTTGCTTGAGTCAAGCGGGATAACTACTATTGCCATTGCCGGCTTCTTTTAGCAAGTTCAAAAGGTAAACAAATGGAATTCACTTCACTATTTCGTACATCCGCCTCGCAGCGACAGCCAATAAATGGACAAGCTGACAACCCGCCTTGTAATGTAAAAATAGCTTGAACTTTGACCTAACCAAAGAAAACTCGCGCAAACAAAAAACAAATCAATACTGCGTAAATGGGTGACCTCAAATTTTGGTTGCTTTGCGCCCCTTTTTTACCGAACTTTTTTAAAAGGATTTTTTGTACCTTTTTAATATTGTTCATTGTCGATTGATTTTTTTTACACATATTATTAAAGCCCAAAGGTTATTTTTTTTTAATACTTAAAAAGTTAGTGCTTACGAGTTCGAAAAAAAAAGATGAAGAGGAGGCGGTACTATGAGACTTTACTGGGCATCTGAAGCTAAATTGATCATATAGATCTACCTATGATTATTTAATATTTAGTTTTTACTTTTTATTCATTTAACATGTTTTTACTTTTTAATTAATCTTTCATTCTGTAGATTTTGTTGGTACCTCCATTTCCTAGCTAATCCTCAGAGCTGTTGTAAACAAGTTAAATTTGTATTAAATGGCCGCGGTTAGCCTGTCAGATGTAGGCCTAAATGATAGGACTAAATATTACAAGTGTCCGTCTGAGTCTAGCATTTTAATGAAGTCTTTCATCGAGAAAATGGCTGCTAAGTCATTTTTTATTTTTGTCTTAGTGACTATTTTTACTATTAAATTTAGGTCGTCATATTTCTAAATTTCTCCAGTTAACAAACGTCGAAACACCGCTAGTGTTTCTTCCAGACTTTTTTCCCCAAGAAGGCACTTAAAATTTTCGGGACGGGGAAGGGACACTGGTAAAAGCATATATTTTCTATAAAAATTGTATTTCGTTCGGGGGAGGGTGGGTGGACGTTATTCGATTACCCCCCCCCCTAGAGATGCCTGAAAGAAACTCTGAATGCCGCAACTTTCCTAATACGTATGAGCACGTATGCTATAAAGGCTAAGAATTTAAAAAAAAAGCCCTGTTATTATTAGGCTACTCACAAAATTATAAGGTCTTTCAGTTGGACCCACAATTTTCAGTCATCGACTTAGATTTTACAATTTTTATTCTATTGACATCTATATAAACTACATTTAATATACACGTGAAGTGCATCATTTTAAATTGTCGGCTACTCTAATTGTTAAGTCCCATAGGTTCACCAGTGTCCTGCTTACACTTTCTGACGTAGTGACGTCATCAACTTCCTTCACGCATCTGTCAACACTAAGCACCTAGACTTGAGTCTCGGGGTGAGAGTTTTACTGAAGGCGTGTTATAAGGACAGTTGTAGTGGTGTTTTAACTTCAAGAACTGATCAGATGATGGCGGAGGATCACGATGGCCGGCAACAGAGACTTCAACATGTGCTATAAAATATAACGAGCCGGCCCGCGGCATAACAATACGCCGCTATTTAGTTGTTTCTAATTTTCAATAATTCATAATTTGTGAATTCGACAGTACCAACGCTGACACTGAAAATATTTCTTTAAAACACTATAAGTAGCTCGTTAAGGACCATAACCCCCCCCCCCCTTCCTTCCCTCCCCCCCTCCTCCCCCCCCCCCCCCCCCTACGTTTAAAATCGTTGGCTCTGCTTGTAAACATTTAGAGTGAACACAGCTCACTAAAACCATGTAGGGGTGGGGAGGTAGGGAGAGCGTTTGCAGCTTGTTTTCTAACGGCTCGAAGAAGAGAATTATATATATAGATGTTGAGTGACGGTGAAGCGTGAGTAACATATGCACAAGTTGTATTTATATAGAGGCTCATGAATATATTTTTGGTCGTCCCACCCAGAAGTAGGTCTACATTTCAGTCTGTTCTCCATCCTGGGTTAGTTTCTTCACAAACTTCCACCACACGTACAGTGCCGGCGCCAGGTTATTTAGCGCCCTAGGCAAAACTTATTAAAAGCGCCCCCCTCCCCACAATTTTTTTCGTGCCCCCGTATTATCAGAGGCGTAGCGAACCTTCCCGGCGCCCGAATTTTCGATTTGGACCCCCCCCTCAAACTTTCGATTTGCACTCCCCACTCAAACTTTCAATTTCTTTTTCCAACCCATTTTGGCGCCCCCCCCCCCTACGGACAGCGCCCTAGGCGACCGCCTAGTTCGCCTTATAGGTAGCGCCGGCCCTGCACACGTAGAATGTACATTTGTATTAGGCCCACTAATGGTAGGATTCTTTTATTTATTTATTATGGTTATTTTATTGTTCTTTATTCCTAGAAGGTTCTGATTTCTAAACATGTTAAAACCTTCAGGAAAACAACTGTATCGGTAAAATGAGAGAAATTAGCTGCAAAGTTTTGAAATTAAAATGTCATTTAAAATATTACAATCTGCAAGTTGAAACTGTCTTCATTTTAGCATTGTTTCAGAGTAAGTCATACATTTTTGAGTACTCTACTTACAAGTCACAAGAGTTATAAAATTATGTTTTGAAAACAATGAATGAGCTGAAATTAAAAAATAAGTTTATTGTTTATCAAAATATTAACGGAGTTGACAGAAGTCCGAGAATGAAATGATTCAATTTAATTTAAAAAGATTGCACATTCATTCAGTGAACTCAACCACTTTGGATTTCCTGGCAGGTGTGGTTTGCCTGGCACTGCCAATACTTCCAAATGGGTTGAGTGGTTTCAGCCTGTTGCTTATCAAATCTATGATCAGTTTCCATACTGCTAACTTAAGCTAACAATCTAAAAGACATGACTGAAAAAGCTACATTTGTAGTGGAATTTAACAGGCATTATTTAAACATGCTCTGCCACGTACAAAGTTTGTTCTAATCCACAAACTAATCACATACCAGTATGCTGACTAACAATTTTGGATCATCTTAAACATAAGGAATGTGTAACCATAATGGAACTGGTGTCTAAAATGGTTAAAAATATTCAACTACAAACTCATAAAACTGAAATATATCTTTACTTAAAAAAAAAAATTGGGATATGTAACAATATTTTCATGTGATGTTTAGTAAATACATTTGAAGGAAGTGGTCATTTATCAACACAAAGCTCTTTCTTCCAGACCTTTAGTGGAAAACATGAGTAAGTTTCTAGTGAGCACACAATGATTGTGCAGGCAGCCAGCACGTGTTTAGGTGCCCAGTAGCTACACACATTGACTCTGTAACTAGAACAATCACCAATCTCATCTAGATCAGGATTGTCTCATATCAGTTTCCAGTTGACAAAACTTTAATACCGGGAAAATACAAGTTTTCTCACACCCAGAACAGTACCATCATTCCCAATATTCCATCTTCACTACGCCAACATTTCAGTTTACTTTAGATGAAGTAAAAATTGTAAGTAATTAAATTTCTACATCATTTAACAATTAGAAAACAAAATGACACTTTCACTTTGTTTTTTATGAGAGCACAGAATTTCATAATAAATAACAGAAGTGACCATTTAAATATCTTATAAGTTGACAAAAATGAAAAATCTGAAAAAAATGAAACAAATAACATGCTGAAAAAATGAAATCACTTGTCATGAGTTGTTTGCAAGTTGAGTTTCACCATTGAGCAGTTAGGAACAAAGCTAAATATCTACATCCAGTTTCCAAAACAAAGTATCTTACACTACAGCAACCACAAAGATAGACAAAACTAAGCTTCACAATGGATGTACACAAACAAATTGTGCTGCAATGACAAATCATATTAGACATGAGAAGTACATATAAAAAATTAAATAACACTAATGTTTTTCACTGTTGAACAAAAGCAAAAAACAAAGAAATGCAAATAGGTGTCAAAGTTGTGTGAAATTTTTTGTTTTTAGTTCTTGGGATGGCAGCAGACCAAGACAGGACATGACGCGTGGTGGACAACGCTGTCGCTGACACTGCCCATAAATGTCCGCCTCAAGGTGTTCTGCCCTCTTGTGCCCATCACAATCATTATGCCATTGACTTTTTCCTGAAAAGAAAATTGTAATTTTATGTTAAGTTTTATAACTAAGCTTTACCACAACCTCTTAATATGATGATCTGGAGAGCAAAATTTGACAGTTTTATCGTTAAGAATACGATTATCAAAGAGCTGTTAGTTGTAATCTACATCAAAATTAAACAGCCAATCTAAAGCCTTGTGTATCTTGTAAGTAACTGCTCACCTGGTATTGAATTATATCATGCCATGCATCCTTTCCTCTTAAAATAATAAAATCACCATCAATCTGTAAAGAAGTTAGATTTTAATATAGAAATAAACTAATATATGACATTATCTTTTTAAAATGAGCAATCTTACAATGAATATGCACTAAAAAGAAAAAAATAAGATTTTCTTTCAGAACAATAATGCACCACTACTTAAATAAAAATAAAAAGTGGATTCCTAACAATTTTAATAACCATAATTATATATGCCCATGCTTTTCTTTTTGTTATTTAAATAGTGGTGCATTACTAAACATTAAAAAATCATTTTATTTTCTTCTTAGTGTATTAAATACCTAATTAAACAAGTCAAAGTTTATATCATAAGACTTGGATTACATTTCAAATTTGAAATAAATCAGTAAGTAATTGATATTTTACTGGCAAGTTTCAACCCATGACTGATGATGTAAACAGACATTTTTAAACATTTATTTTTTTAATTTTCATTTTTCATAGACAAAGACAGGACAGAACATGAATCAAGCATACTGAAAGCTTCAATGCAAAAAGAAAAAACAAATAGCTACATTTATGAAATAAAAATAGAACAAATTTTGCAAATGAAAAAAAAATAAAGAATTGATAACAACAAACACAATTATAGTCATTTTTGTTTCATTACTTCACTTTAGAAATTACTAATTTAAAATGTGTATCAAAATGAGCCAAGCATTAAAATACAGCTTTCAATTTCACGAGTTATATCCCCTGATAAAACTATTTCCATTTTACTTCCCTTGGTTTAAAATCTACAAATGAAGCCTCTCCCACCGAATGTAATATCACCTTTAGTTATGTGCAATAAGTGGTTGACAGTTACTTTAAAGTTTACAGGTTTCACAGTAAAGACTGATCTCTCAGGTAAACTACAATTACCTGAACCCAAATGATTTAGTTTAGACAAACAAAAAGATGGCATCAAGGGTAGCAGATTAAATCTTACATTGTTATCTGTCATCAATTTTCTGTATTTCTGTTCTATTTCTTTGACTTTACTTTCTTCTTTAGCCATCAGTTCCTGGCAATGTTTAGGGCTGGGACCTGGAAAAACAGATTTTTGTCTGATTATAGACTTCCAATTAATGATCTTAAGTTTTACTATAGGAACACAATATTGATATAAATTTTAGCTGGTCTAAAGATAACATTAAAGTTTTACTATAGAGCTACAGTACAGATTTTTTAATCGAAGCAAAATTGAACTCAAGATTGTATAAATTTAACTTAAATTTTAAGCATGAAAATCTCTTATAAATGTAAGTATTTAGGCAAAAAAACTCACAATTTGAAGAAAATAATTATTCAGTTACAAGCAAGCATAAATATGTATAAAAGCCACATGCAAGACATACAAAGCACACCGTATCACCTGAGGACTTACCACCATCCATAGGCTCAAAATTTCCCCAGTAGTTGGAGTGGTGAACCAGGTGGAGTTGGTAGCCAGGTCTGCTCACGTTGTCCACATAGACTGGGGATAGAATTCACAAACTAGAATCACAGACTTTTAACACAAAATTCACTTCTGCCAACATAATGCCCTGATATCCCTACTGCAGCACTGTTAGAATTTGTTAAAAAGAAAAAAAATTATCCTCTAAATTTTAAAAATAAAAACACTCTTGAAAAACATGATATGCAAAGTTAACCTTTTGCTTAATATCTTGTTCGCTTCTTATAACTAGTTTAAAGATAGAAATGTAAATGTAGGATTTTCTCCTGAAAGCCACGCATGCATTTAGATGTATGTAGATCTGCTTGCATAAAAGGTAATGGACAGCTAAAGTTGCAAATATTCAAGCATCGTCAGCTACACACACACAGCTACACACACACAGCTACACACACACAGCTACACACACACAGCTACACACACAGCTACACACACACAGCTACACACACACAGCTACACACACACAGCTACACACACACAGCTACACACACACAGCTACACACACACAGCTACACACACACAGCTACACACACACCTACACACACACAGCTACACACACACAGCTACACACACACAGCTACACACACACACACAGCTACACACACACAGCTACACACACACAGCTACACACACAGCTACACACACACAGCTACACACACACAGCTACACACACACAGCTACACACACAGCTACACACACACACACAGCTACACACACACACACAGCTACACACACACAGCTACACACACACACACAGCTACACACACACACACAGCTACACACACAGCTACACACACAGCTACACACACACACACAGCTACACACACACACACACAGCTACACACACACACACAGCTACACACACACACAGCTACACACACACACACAGCTACACACACAGCTACACACACAGCTACACACACAGCTACACACACACAGCTACACACACACAGCTACACACACACAGCTACACACACACAGCTACACACACACAGCTACACACACACAGCTACACACACACAGCTACACACACAGCTACACACACACAGCTACACACACACAGCTACACACACACAGCTACACACACACAGCTACACACACACAGCTACACACACAGCTACACACACAGCTACACACACATACAAACACTCAACCACATAGCCAGCTACATACACAGAAGATCTACAAAAAGGTGTCAGTTACTATATCAGTTACATCTATAGCTGTCGGCTGTGCTTTATATCTGGTGGAGCTATAGCTGTGAATGTCACAATCCACTGTAAGCATAGCTGTGAAAGTTAGCAATAAGCGCAGCTGTGAATGTCAGCAGAATCTAATTAATTTGAACTGATAAAAACAAGTCAACCCCACAGATCAAGAGTGTAAATCGTCCTGTTGTATTTTGATATGATGAATCAACGAGTCGCAAATAGACGGGCCTAAATGTCTGAAACAGATCATGCCCATAACACTGGTCGCTCTACGATCTAGTGCCAGTTTCTTTCAGGCAATTCATCGGGGTGGGGGAAGGGGGGTAGGAGTGCTTCCCCTCCCCCGGAGCACGTTTACCTCCTCGGGCTAAAAAAAAATATACTCAACTAGCGTCCGACCCGTCCGACCCCCCCCCCCCCCCCCCACCCGGGAGAAAAACGTCAGGGGATAAACCCATGATACAAAACCCAGCTGTAATAAGCAGAAGATGCAACTAATAACAAGTTATTTTTAACATTTGGCAAAGAACAAGCTCTTGTATCTTCCTGCCGCAAATTGTTTTTAAAAAGGTTTGCTCTTGTATTTAGATCTAGTAACAAAGCGGCACATCCATTAAAATTAGCAAATGTGACTGTTCCAGCAGTTAACGTTTTTAATGAGTTCTGAAAATATCCGCGATCACGCAAGCTACGTCACGTATCTCACTCTTTATCCCGGGCCAAGCAAACCTCGCGAGATCGCGTTGTCTGAACAAACTGACAACCCGGCATCGTCTAGGACCACATAGGTCACAGTGACACACCAACCAGGACGCCGTATCAATACTCGAGGGGTCTTCGTGGCAGGAGTTACCTGCCTTGGGTGGGATGGGAATAAAGGGCAGTAGCTCCGGTCAGGATACAGTGGGCGAGTGGCTTAGGGTCAAGGTAATGGGCCCGTTGGATGGGGTCAAGATAACGGGTCAGTTGGGTAGGGTCAAGGTAATGGGCCCGTTGGATGGGGTCAAGATAACGGGTCAGTTGGGTAGGGTCAAGGTAATGGGCCCGTTGGATGGGGTCAAGATAACGGGTCAGTTGGGTAGGGTCAAGGTAATGGGCCCGTTGGATGGGGTCAAGATAACGGGTCAGTTGGGTAGGGTCAAGGTAATGGGCCCGTTGGATGGGGTCAAGATAACGGGTCAGTTGGGTAGGGTCAAGGTAATGGGTCCGTTGGATGGGGTCAAGATAACGGGTCAGTTGGGTAGGGTCAAGGTAATGGGCCCGTTGGATGGGGTCAAGATAACGGGTCAGTTGGGTAGGGTCAAGGTAATGGGCCCGTTGGATGGGGTCAAGATAACGGGTCAGTTGGGTAGGGTCAAGGTAATGGGCCCGTTGGATGGGGTCAAGATAACGGGTCAGTTGGGTAGGGTCAAGGTAATGGGCCCGTTGGATGGGGTCAAGATAACGGGTCAGTTGGGTAGGGTCAAGGTAATGGGCCCGTTGGATGGGGTCAAGATAACGGGTCAGTTGGGTAGGGTCAAGGTAATGGGCCCGTTGGATGGGGTCAAGATAACGGGTCAGTTGGGTAGGGTCAAGGTAATGGGCCCGTTGGATGGGGTCAAGATAACGGGTCAGTTGGGTAGGGTCAAGGTAATGGGCCCGTTGGATGGGGTCGAGCAACGGGTCATGGTCAAGATAATGTGTCAGTGGGATAGGGTCAATACCTCATCGGGTAGCTGAGGATCGTTACACTGAAAAAAAAAATTCCATCAGGGCGGCTCTAGTAGATCCAGCTAGTGGGGAGGGGAGTTAACCACAGATGTTTACATTACATTTTGATTGCTATCATTTTTATCGATGGTTTCTCAGGATCTAACGGTCTTGCGAATTTTTTTAAAGAGCTTTTAAAGACGTGATCAGACTTTTAAAGGGTAGTGCATTTGAATTTTCTAAAAATCAATGTTTGAGATTTTAAAACTATGTTTTAATCAACTTGCGGATATTTATTTAGGTTAAATTTAATTGAAAAATTAGATAAGAAATAGTAACCGAAATATTTAAAGATAAAAATAAAATTAGATTAGAAATAATAATCCTAATTTTCTTTCAATTGAAATTTTGTGTGTAAACTTTATTTAGACTTGGACCAGTGTGCCCACGTCTACCCGCTTGCCATCTTGGCTCACATGGAAGATATTACGTCTTATCTTGTTCGGTTAATGTAAACATGTCAAACTTTCAACACATTTCCTCTTCAAATCGAAATTCATAATCTTAGGCAGACATAAGTAAATACAAGAAATAGATCTAGATATAAATAGCAGCAAGCAGTTTTACACAAGGTATGTTTCAGCCGAAAAAAAAAACCTAATTCGTATTTCATTTCAAGTAATTTTAAAATATTTCAGTAGCAACAATACTTGACAATAGTTTTAAAATAATGCCTTATAAAAAAGATTCATCTAGCTTATACTGCGGCTTACTAAGTGGATTATATCATTATAAGCTTCAGTTGCGTAGGTAGGATTTTTAGGGGTCCATAGGGGGGGGGGGGGCGGGGGTTGATCCTTGCATTAGCCAACTATCTGGTGAACAGTGGGCCTACACAACCTACAGTGGGCCTACACTACCTACAGTGGGCCTACAGTACCTACAGTGGGCCTACAGTACCTACAGTGGGCCTACACTACCTACAGTGGGCCTACAGTACCTACAGTGGGCCTACACTACCTACAGTGGGCCTACACTACCTACAGTGGGCCTACACTACCTACAGTGGGCCTACACTACCTACAGTGGGCCTACACTACCTACAGTGGGCCTACACTACCTACAGTGGGCCTACACTACCTACAGTGGGCCTACAGTACCTACAGTGGGCCTACACTACCTACAGTGGGCCTACACTGCCTACAGTGGGCCTACACTGCCTAGAGTGGGCCAACACTACGAACAAGCCGTTCACACTACAGTAAAATACCAGGCTTCACCTAAACGTCAATTTGCTATGTCCCTGAACAAGTCAGTTCCTCGCTATAAACGACAATGTATCACTAATGAGACAAGGTCTGGTGGATGCTGTCCTTCAGGTTAAGTAAACCATTATCTAGGGACCGTAACTCTGTTCAAACTTCAGTTACCCGCTCTTTGGCCATATTGATTATGGTTTAATTACTACAGCACGTGTTTACTTCAGCCTTTGTTATTGATTGATCTTATGCGTCTGAAAAAATGTTAGCCACAGGCGCAATAATAGTTTCAACCTTTTGTCAAGTATTCAACAATACAATATCAACAAGAACTGGGCCTGGTCAAGTTATCAATACAATACCAATGGACTGGTCAAGTGGTCAGCAATACAATATCAATATGGACTGGTCAAGTGGTCAACAATACAATATCAATATGAGCTGGTCAAGTGGTCAGCAATACAATATCAATATGTCAGCAATACAATATCAATATGTCAGCAATACAATATCAATATGTCAGCAATACAATATCAATATGTCAGCAATACAATATCAATATGTCAGCAATACAATATCAATATGTCAGCAATACAATATCAATATGTCAGCAATACAATATCAATATGTCAGCAATACAATATCAATATGTCAGCAATACAATATCAATATGGACTGGTCCTGGTCAAGTAGTCATCAATATAATATCAATATGGACTGGTCAAGTGGTCAGCAATACAATACCAATATGGACTGGTCCTGGTCAAGTGGTCAACAATACAATACCAATATGGACTGGTCCTGGTCAAGTGGTCAACAATACAATACCAATATGGACTGGTCCTGGTCAAGTGGTCAA